CATGCTACACAAGCACTCTATCACTACGCTCCACAGGCCCAGTGTTTTGATGTCATTTATCAAATCAGCTGGTACTTCAAAACAACTTTTTTTTTTTTTTTTTTTTTAAACTGGAAAGCACAGACACACACAGATTTAGGGACACTCAGAGGAACTCTGCAAAGCAAGTAGTTCAAAGCAGGAACTGCATTTGGTGTTTCCAGAGTTACTGAGATTCAACATTGTTCCTGAAGATTTCTGGAATTCTATCTTTTGTAATTTATGTCTCAATGTAATGAAGTTACTATAGCACCAGGCAAATAGCAAGGAGGAGCCCATTTTAGTTAATAAAATGACTAGAACAACCTCTTAGAGATTACAAGGTATGAGACTAAATCTTCTCTTTTTTTTTTATACTCAAAAGTTTTCAGCATACCAACCAAAAATAAAATACATTCATGGGGAAATACTCAAGTTATTTTGGGTTTATATTACGATTTTATGAAAGAGACATAATGTTGAAAAAAAGTGTTAAAAGGATTTTGAAATAGCTTTGTTGGCATCTGATAAAATGAAACACAGTATAAACAGAAAAATAAAGAAACCTAATTCTTTGCTATTATTAAATTCAAAAGGTGGGCCGAGGAGATGGCTCAGTAGAATAAGCGCTTCCCTGGCAAGCACAAGGGCCTGAGTTCAATCCCTGGTTCCACCAAAAAAGAAAAAGGAACGTCCAGTACTACAATGAATGTGATGGAAGCATTACTATGTTCCTACGATACAAATTCCAAGGGAAAAAGATGTTCGGCAACCGTCTGCACACAGCTCAGGACAGTGGTGCAGCCCAGCACCCTAGACAGGAGCAGGAGGGCCTCGCCACCCAGCGGAGCAGCAACTGAACACCACACCTGGCCTTAAAGGACGGCAACTCCCTCATGCTCCCAGCTGTGACCTGCTGCCCTACTGATTTCTATGAACATCGAAACAATGACTTGCACAGAAACAAAAGTAATTCTGTATCCTGCTTTTGACCTTTTAAGGCTAAGACATCTTTATAGGCCATGTTTTTATTTTATGATTACTTTCAAGACTTACTAAGGGAAAGGGAGATGTTTTGAGCGGGGCTTTGTGTTTTTTCTTTTTTGTATTTAGTACAGGGTCTACAGGGTCTCACTTCGTAGATCCAACTCATAAGTGATCCTCCTGTTTTCAGCCTCCCAAGTGCTAGGATTACAGGTGCGCCACCACGCCCAGTCTCCATCACTGTCTCATCGCGCCCCAGGTGTGGGGCTAGCCTGGCACGCTGGGGATAGAACCCTGATCGCTGCATTCTGCCCAAGCAGGCACTTTAGTTCACTGAACTATCTGGCCAACCCTTGAGCTTGGCTTTCTAAGGAAAAGTGGAGAACCTTACCCCGTAGAAGCGAAGGGGAAGGTTGGCACTAGTGGGCAAGCTGCTCACTTAGTAAGAGAGAAGCTCCCGGCACACACCATAAGCCACGCAGTAGAGCTTACACCTGATCTGGCACGGGAGAAGGCAACACTCCATGCTAAATGCCATTCTTCAACAGAAGAAGAAAAAGACATTTACATTCAAGAGGACTATCTTCAAATGGTCTCTCTCCAACCAACAAGCTGGAAATGTATCCTTAAACCCATTCTTAAAGTCTCTGCAAATTTACAAAGGAGTGTGTAAGAACGACATGACTAGAAACTCTCACAAAGACGTTCACACTTTCAAAGTTTCTTTTGCAAAGTTGTTTTTGAAACATAAAAATCATGAATAAAATGAAACTAAAATCTTAAAAGTTTGTAAGGACAAATTCCAAAATTTTATAAACACACTGTTACAGATTAATAAATTTCCACATTTACCTAAGAAGATACATTCACTGTCCTGCCCATTCCCCACAGCTGTGTGTCACCACACCAAGTCTTCTTTATTTTCCAGTTTTATCTTTAAGTCATATCTCAGGATTCTTCACGAACCTTGTTCACACTAACAACAGTGTAAATGATTACACAATCTTACAACAGACTTATAAATTCTACTGAAGTATTTTATAGCCTTTAAATCCAGTTCTTCAAAATCATTCTGAAATTTGGAACCTGCCTGTATCCCACATTCCTTTATTTTTAGATGAAGTCTATAAATAAGGGCTTTGATAGCGCTGCTGCATGTTAACTCAGCTGCACTAACTTCAATTAGAAAGGTTAAAAAAAAAAATTGGAAAACAGTTGCCTGGTATTCAAATACTGAGTTATGCCTTTAATATCTTCTTTTCTTTCGGCCTGAAAGGTGCTTTCGGGATCATCCCTGGAAACCTACTGAAGCTCTCCTCACACTGCTGGAACTCAGAAGCCATACCCTAAAGCATGTGGCCCTGGCATGCACAGCCCCTTCCTTACTTTCCCTTTCTCCTGAAATGTTGACCAGAGAAAACAGAATTCCTTTTCCTCATGGTGAGTCATGGCAAATAGAACCCCTTTCCCACAAAGCAAATCATAGAACCTAGAAATATGAATTCTAACCTCACCCTGCTTTCCTGTTAGAAGTGGCTATAAAGAAATCCTCTCCAGCCTACCTAGTCTGTTAGATCCCAGGCACTCACTGCTCTTATCCAGGGGGAAAGAAAGCTCCACTGAGAACCGCAGACGAATGTGTGAGGTCTGCTGGGCTTCAATACCATCTAACACCAGCCCCAGCCTTTGTCCAATCAAATTCTACATGGGGGCTGCCCATTCTTCACTAAACCTCAGCATAAGAACCGAGCTTCCAGGGACATCTGAGTTTCAATTTCCAAAGGTTCCCAAATCCCAAAATTTTTATTAAATTTAATATGCTTCTCTTTTGTTACCTTTTTTTGTTAAAGGGGTATCAACCATGATCCTTAAGATGGTTAGAGAAAATTGTCACACTTTTCTGTTCTATAAGATCTACTTTAAGATTATATAGAAAACAGGATGGGAAAAACACAGCTTCTTCTAAATACCACCAGATTTCATGAACAAAACTGAACTACTTTAAATGTAAGCCTACATTGAAAGTTCATGCTTTTAGTGACATTCGGTATCAACAAAAACTTGCTGAGGAAGTAGCTTAGCAGCAGAATGTTGCTTAGCATGAGCTAGCCCTGCCTTCACTCCCCAGCACCACAAAAGTAACAAATCTACATTTTAACCTCCATAATATGCAACATGAATTTCTAAAAATGTGTCTCTCATGGGCATGGTGGTGTACACTTATAACCCCACGTTATTTGTGAGGCTGAGCCAAGAGAAGCACAAGTTTTAGGCCAGTATGAGCAATTTGGCAAAATCAGGTCTCAAAATTAAAAAGTAAATGAAGAGGGAGTAGACATTTAGCTCAGTGATAAAGCACATGCACAAGCTCCTGGTACTGCAAATAAAGTAAAGTAAAGCAAAACAAAACAACAACAAAAAGTTTAGGATGTTTCCTCTGTCCTATATAAATTTAAGTAAGAAAATCTGCTTTTTTTTTGGGGGGGGGAGGGCATGCTGGGGATTGAACTTAGGATCTTGTGCTTGCCAGACAGGCACTTAAGCCACTGAACTATCTTCCCAAGCCCTAAATCTGAAATTCAGTATGTTAAAATTTTATTACTTGTAAGATACACCTTTTCGGGGCAGGTGGTAGTGATGGGGAATGAACCCAAGGCCATATACATGGTAAACTCACATTCCACTGAGAAGCTACAACTCCAGCCTCATTGTTTCTACAGTTTTACTATCTAAAAAAAGAATTCTTGGTGATAGTTTTAATAAAAGTAATTATTTTCAAATGCAAATAACCTAAAAAGCATTTACTTATTTGCCAATTTAAGGTTAAAGATCTGAATAGGGTAGGGACCTTGAACTCCAATCTCACCAGAGTTAATTTGTTTCTATATTAGCGCTCACTTCATTTATCATCAATAAATGCCTCCCTTGAGACATAATTCAGACAAAAAGCAAAGAAAAATGTCCTCAAACTGTAAAATTCCAACGCTGTGCTGCCCTTCATCCTAATGAGGTTCTACTTTAGTGGAGCTAACCTGAGTTACTCCCTTACTTGCTTTTTTGATCAAATGGAAGCATTCATCAGACAAAGAACAGTTTATTACAAAGGTAACTGGCCTTTGAAGACTGTATTGAACTTTATTAGCGCGGTGCTCCAATGGACAAGTGGACTCCTGCTAATTTCCGCTTTTATGGTCCATTACAAAGCAATGCACTTAGTTCACTGTGGAAAAAGAGCTACATAGAATATAAACCGTTCTATGGTTACCTCTATTCAAGAAAAGAACAATGTTTAAATCTTTGTTCCTAATTTCTTCATATCTTTTGGACTCCATAGACAACAGGTGTTGTCTTATTTTTTTAATTTGAAGAATGCAATTTCTTTGGAGTCATACAGGAGAATTCTGTTAGAAAGGAAAATGGCCACAATCTTTCCATCTACTCCAGATGCCTTTACAACCCATGCTCTCTGGTGTTTATCTAGAAGAAATGTCATCAAGAAACCTGGAACACCACCAGGTGGAACTTTTCCTCTTCTGAGAGTTTTGATATTCTTCCTTTGAAATACCCACTAGAAAGAATTCCTCTTTTCCTCATAGTCTCGTGACTCTAAGAAAGATTCTTAAAATTAGCCTACTCAAGTAAATAACGTACACCATCTTTTGTTACTGTTCAATATATTGAATCCTTTAAAACATTAAAAGCATAATGTTAAGCTATACACATAAAACTAAGACACACATTGACACTGACAGGATGTACAATTGAGACACAATACACTTCAAATGTGGACTACAAAGACCTCCACACCATCAAACAGAAGACTGAAAACTCCGCAAGGAGTAGGAAGGGAGGAGACAGTACAGAAGGTGTCTCGGTAGAAAGATGGCTCAGAGTTACACCCTGGCTAATCTTCAGTGAGGACAGGATCTTGGAATACAAGTTTCTTGCTTTCCTAATGTATTTTTTCCCCAATGCTAAAACATCATATAAGAGCCTACCTGACATTTTGGAGAATTTGCTGTGCTGGGATTGATATTCCGCATTGCCTAAGAGCAAAAAATAAGATGGATAAAAATTACTGCAAGCCACATGGTTTGGCTGTGTAGGCTGAGTTACAAATCGTATCCAGACGTGTCACCATGGCACAGAATCCCCAAGCTAGCCAAGCAGCAGCAGACTGAGGAAGCCAAGAGCCAACAAAGTCACCATGTAACAAAGCTGAGACCTCAGCAGCAAGGGGAGGACAGCAGAGGGCTAAAAATATGGTAATGGTCAGGTAGGTTCTTTGCGTCTAAGTTTTAGATGAATTAAGTAACACGTTCGTGTTTCACTGACAAGAAATACTGTCAAGGGGAGAAGTTCAGAGGAAGCCAAACTTAAGGTGTACTGAAATTACATTGACTGCTAAAACAAAAATGAAAATTCTTAAAACTAGATGATTAGTAGAGAATAGAGCAGACCTGTCACTTCAGTATAAAAAAGACAACGCAAGAGGCAATAAAGAAGAAACAAACAGGTTACCTTTAAAGAAAGTGAAGCTATTCTGTCCAGGACCCATCACCCAGAGTAAGAATGAGAATAAGATTTAGAAACATTCTATAGAATGAAGAGTTTTACAAATAGCAGCATTTTGCCCACCAAAAACAAACGAAAACCAAACAGGCCAATCTATGATATACAACAAAATAAATGGCTCATTTCTAAACTTTAAATTACCTTAAAAACAGCAAGAGCTCAATATTGCCAATTAAATAACTTTTTCCCATTAAGGGTGGCTGATCTGGATAGTTCTGAAATTGAGATTTGCTCTCCCTTGGGTAAACTTGCACTCAGTCAAAACACTATGAAAGGCAAACAAGGAAGCCAGTCCTGTATAAGTGTGTTTTTAAATGTTTTACTTTATATTGTAGTCAAATAATTAAATTTATGATGGTATGATTTTACTCTGACAATACAGTCTTATCTAAATGAAAAAAAAAACCTTTTCCCTACATTTGTTAGAAAGTCAGTCAGAGGAACAATAAACCGTACTGCTGTGCTTCCGCTTTCGGTCATCATGCAGAAGCGGCGGCGTCCGGCTCCTGTACCCTGACATCACATGCCTGCACAAACTCTGCCGCTCATTGAGCTCACCAGCGACACCACCCACCCACAGCTACACTGACAGGGAGCAAACACTGATGAGGAGCCTGTCTCAGAGTCCAGGAGCGTATTTAGTTCCTCAGGTACCAGATGTTGATCTCAAATCAGAATTAAGAGACATTATTGACATTTGCACATTCAAACGACACTTTAAAAATAGTCATCTAAAAATGTATCTTTACATTTTGAATGCCCTACTAAAAAAATAGCATATAATTGATTTTTAAATGTCTATATTTAGTGTGCTATGATTCAATGAGTAAACATTATCGATACACATTATTTTTTGTCAACATCTCTGGGAAGAAAAATTAGGGAAAGGAACATTTTATTTCCTTCTGGTATACCTTTATATATTTTCACTACTCTGTTTCTATTATCCATTCAAAAATTTTTATATAAAAATTGAGAAATATATAAGATCACATCCCTAATATCTGACCATTATCTTAAATACTTTGAACAAGATAAATCAAAAATAGGTTTTAAGATGAGAAATCATCTATTTTCATTCAATACAAAGACGAATACATAGTACTTTCTAAAAGAAAACTGATGGCAATGATTACAAGGGCTGCAAGCTCTTTGCTGACTGTTAGATACCACCCTTCCCTGTAAGAAAAAGCACCCTTAAGGAGGTAACCCCACTCCTCACCTCACGCTTGGGACCAAACCCAGGGCCTTGCGCATGGTATGCAGGTAATTTTAAGACAGATTGGGATCTCTTCAATTTGGGTACAACTCATACTTTGAGAACTGTTAAGATTTGGCAATAGCAAAACATATCTGCCATTGAAGTCAAGTCACACTGGTAGATTCCTCCTACACACAAGTAATTCATTTAGAGATGTTTCTTCCCAAGTGATGCTCTGGAGTATTCCCACTAGCAGAAGCCTCGGAAATACAACACACAGTTTCACACTCAGTTTTGGAAGCATTCTTGCTTCCTTCAATTTCTGTTTAACTGCAATGACCATGGCCAAAACAGCCCTGCAACATACAGGATTTCACAAGTTACAGCCCATAAGATCAATAGCCAATCAACCAGCTAGAATGCTTGTGTACCACTCTAATTTTCGAGAAACAATAGTCCTCTTTAACTAATAAGTGCTAAATTGAAATCTGCCCAACTTTACAAAGGAAAACAAAGCCCCAAAAATAGAAGGCTGGTTTCTAACCTGCGGCCTCACCTGCCGAAGCAGCTCTTGCTGTTTCAAGCGCAGTCTTTCCTTCTCCATCTGCAACTGCTGGAGACGCATTTGCTGCTGCTGGTTGGAGTTGTTACTACCCATAACAGCTCCCTGTGGGCTCTGGGGAGCCAAAGGTGGTGGCTGTTTCACTGGAGCACTCTGACCGATTCTCTGGTTCATAGCTGAAAACGAAACAAAAAGAAAAACCTCAAGTTAAAAAAAAGAAGGATGACTTAGCTATTAAGAAGCAAATGACAATACTTGGGCGTGGTGATGCACATCTGTAATCCCAGCACTCAGAAAGCTGAGGCAGGAGGACCTTTGTGAGCTCAAGGCCAACCTGAACTGCATAGTGAGGTTATGTCTCAAAAAATGAAAAAAGGCAATCAAATGAGAATGTGTAATGTAGATTTTTGGTAATGTCACTAAATATAACCTAAAAATCCATCAGTAGCACAATAAGTACGTTAACTTCTTGTCATCGCTGTTAGGGGATGACAAGCAGTAATAAACTGAACAACTACAGCAAGTAGGAACGACAGATAAGAAGAAAACGAAGTTCCATTGGCTCTGAAGGTGGGAAACGCAGGGACCAAAACCAAGTTACACACAGGCGTCCCAAGTTTGGAAGTGTGAATCACGTCAACAGAGTGGTACCTCAGTGATTACTGACTGCTGCAGGTGCTAATGTTAAAGCAGGGCTAGTACTGTGTTTTGGCTGGAAGGGATACACTGACATGAGGCAATCGACAACAACCAACCAGTTCTAGTTTGTGTGGGCAACTACCAAAGAAACAATCAGAACCAGGATAAAGTTTTCACGTCAAGCACATCAAGTACCAATAAGAGTTCCAAAGCAACTGAGAACCAAGGTATGACTGCAAATTATTTTTTAAAAACTATATACATATGTACATACATACATAAATCCATCTCCAAAATCAACTGGAGCAAAATATTCTGAGAAGGAAAATTCATCAAAAGAACCCTACTATTTCAACACACATATCACCCTAATAAAGCAAATAAATTAAGATGATCTGATGTACTTTCACACTAGATGAGTCCGAAAGCACCTGGTACTTTATCTTCTTCTATACCACTGAACACAACACACAGTCTGGGTAGTCAACTCTTTATTTGAACATGTAATACCCTCTCTTCTGGTGAGAAATGGACTGGATTTTTATACTAGAGAACTTCTGCCACTGAGAAAATGTAAGAATGACAGAATCTTTTTTCAGACATATACTCGCCTTTTAAATTGGAATTTTCAGTCACCTTTCCTCCTAAAACTTTAATACACACTGACCAAAAAAAAAAAAGTAGGCTCAAATGTCTTCACATAAATTCAAGAGAGAAAGAGCATCAATCTTGTAAGATACCACATCTTCCAGAGGACAACAACAAATACTCCCAACACTTAGGATGTGAGAATAAACCTCATAATTTACACAAGGGCACCCTATCTTGCTTAATAACCTTGCTAAATAAATAGCACAGACTGACAGCACTTTCAATTATTGGCAACCCTTGGATTTTTCACATTGCCTCTGCGAAACGGTGGCTGCTTCATGACGGCCACCTCTTCTTGAGCGAACTCCAGGAATCTGAGTGTGAACTACTCCTTGTGCTGAAAACACAGCTCAGTGACGCAGTGTATGCCTAGCATGCACAAGGCCGAAGGTTCCATCTGCAGCACCCTGAACAGAAAAAGAACCCTTTTCCTGTAGGGCATTTCCTCAAAGTAGTTCTGCTTTGTCTATTGATGTTTCTTATTGCAATTTTTAATTTTTCAGCCAGGCATGGCAGTGCACGCCTGTTAATTCTAGCACTTGGGAGGCTGAGGCAGGAGACGAGGTGAGTTTGAGGCCAGCTTGGACTACATGATGAGTTCAAGACTACAATGAACTATGCAGGGAGCAAACAAAACAAAGAAACAAAAGTCTGACTTAACAGATTTGTAACCTTAAGACAGCTTATTTTAGGAGCAGAGGCAATACCTTACTTATAAATTCTCAGAGCCTACCACCATGTCTGATACAAAGTATATTCTGAAAACCATTTCACTATTTCTACTTTTAATATTCACTGAGGCAGAAAATTATGTAAGGCAGCTGCAGCCATGGACAGCAGGTGAGGGTTCTGCAAGGTGATGCACACTCTAACATCACTGTGATTTTTAGTTGTGCTTTGAACAATTTGGACATGTGATGCTCAAGAACCAGGTAACAACAGAAAGCGGTGCACGGCGCAGTGGCAATTCTGCCTGTCACACACAGCACGCTTGTGGGTGCGTGACCTGTCAGCAAATAAATTTTTTTAATTTACTATTATTTATTTAGTATTTATTAATACTAAATATTAAAATTTGGTACAGGGTCTCACTACACAGATTGGATTTGTAGTGATCCTCATTTTTAGCCTCCAAGCACTGGGATTACGGGCACACAACAACACAACCAGTCTCAATCTGTCTCAGTGTGCCCAGGGGGCGGGGCCAGCATAGCACGATGGGCATCAAACCTTGGTCCCTGCGTCTGCCTGAGCAGGTACTCTAATCAGCTGAGCTATCTGGCCGGCCCAATACATGTTTGTTTTTTTTTTTTAAAGGGACTTATAATAGAAGATATTGTTTGATGAAATACCACTCCATCCTACATTAAGAAAGTTTAGGCACAAAAGTTTTTTAAAAACTACCCTCAATGTTGTGAATTTCACAAGGCTCATGGGATAGAATCATTGTCAATTCTAGCAGTTCCTTGAAAGGATGCATGAGGATTGTGTGCATACTATTTACTTTTCCAAAGGTGGATAAGTAGAGCTAAAATGTTGAAAACATTTTATAATTTGCAAAATAAAATCAACCCACTTAGACAGAAGAAAAATTTGTGTCAGAACTTTAAAATGAAAAACAGCTCACAGATGCTGAACTACTTTTGGTGCTTTGACTCACTTCAGTAAATTAAACTTGTACTTTCTTCAAGGTAAGAATCAAATCCAACAATGTTAGAATTGAGACTTAAATTAGGATTATTTCAAATTATGGAAAATATTTTATGCATTTTGGTGCTCTGGCTAAATACTAACTATCCTGTGAACAGTTAAAAAATACACAGCCTTGTCTTCCATTTTAATACAGGGGCTGGGGAGATGGCTCAGTGGAATAAGCGCTTCCCTGGCAAGTGCAAGGGCTTGAGTTCAATCCCTTGTTCCCAAAAAAAAAAAAAAAAAAAAAAAAATTAATACAGGAACTGGAAAATAGGTTTCAACATTTCCCCCCAAAATCATCAATTTTGAGTATATTTGCAACTCCATTTTCAGCTGACAAAAACAGAGTCTGCAAATTTTTAAATGGAATGCGTAAAGTGGGAGTCAGACATTCGAATCAAAGAAAACTCCTATCGTGCCTCTTTAGCAGGCTTTTGCAAGACCTCTTTTCCCAGAGCAAGGTCTGCCTCGCTTCCCATCATGCACAGCTCAGTACAGGAGCGCTGTTCGGCCATGTGTGCCCAGGGGAGCAGCTCTTTCAAGGACAAGCACAAAAGAGGAAACTTACATAAAAATGTCTGGGGAGCACCTTGAAAACTCACAAGTCACAGCAACCATAGAACTACCCACTGACATAGGTTCACAAAAAAAGGTTAAAAGTCCCACTAGATTTATCTTTGTTATGCTCTTCTAAAAACGCTGATAAAAATAAAGGAAGTTTTATCACCTGCATATGTTAACCCTATTGCATATTTTTATGCAGTCCAAGACAATTCCTCTTCACTCAGTGGTTTAAGACAAGTCACCACACTGAACACGTGCTTTACAATCCGTACCAGGAACAGGAATCCTGTTCCTTTCAGACTGTCCAATGAAGCCGGGCGATGGTGCTGGGGGCACATACCTGTAATCTTAGCACTTGGAAGGCTGAGGCAGGAAGATATGTGAGTTTGAGGCCAGCCTGGACTACACAGTGAGTCCAAGACCACCCTGAATTACACAGAGAGACACAGTCCCCTCAAACAAAAAACAAAGAGTACTCAACTCTTCTATGAGTCAGCATAACCCAGAGACACAACCATTAAGAAAGAAAACTTCAGAGACTGGCTTCTCTCAGGCGGCCTTAATTTAATTCAATCCAATCTACTCATCGATGTAAGATGACAGAATTACCAAGTACTTTCCCTTTTTGTTCTACTTTTTTTTTTTTTTTTAAATTTTTCGGACTTTTGAGTTGAACTGAGTTAGTTTAAATCCCATCAGAGAAAATTTAAGTCAATAAATTTAACTTTGAAACCTGCTTTACCACATACATTTTAAAATACTATAAAATTCGCTAGTGTCCTATTTCAAAACTGATATTCAACAGTTCCAATCTTGTTTTATTTTCCCCCTCGCTTTTTCCGACAATTACTTTCAAGTAAATATTACGGCCTTCTGCCCATACTTTGAGTAAGTATCTCTAAATATCTATAATATCTTGATTGCACTGTATTTGCCAATTTCTTAATGTCATCAAATGTCTACCCTAACATTTACAGTTCTATTAATGGGATTATTTTTTACTTTGGTTTAAAACAATTCAAACAAGGTCCCTAAAATGATTTGATTTAATAAAACCTAAGTCTCCTCAGAGGACTGATAAACACCACCAAAATAAAAGACATTCAAAAACCAGGCACCTGAAGTGAATAGATATGGCCAATAAACACATGAAAAAATGTTCAACATCTCTGGAACTACAGAAATACAAATGACAGGAACAGAAGAATAGTTATCATAAAGCAATCAAATTAGAAATGCTGACAAGGCTGTAGGGCAAGAAGGAACCCTTCCATATTGCTGGTGGGAATATAAAACTAGTTCAACCACTATGGAAATCAGTGTACATTCCTCAAAAACCTAAAAATAGAAATTCCTTTTGACTCGTGGTGTGCTGCTAGGTCTGTTCCAGAGTTAAAGAGGCCATACTACAGTGACACATACGTACTCATGTTTATAGTAATACAACTCATAATAGGTAAATCCTGGAAGTGGACTGTGTGTCTAGTAGCAGAAGAATAGACGAAGAAAATGTGTCATTTAGACACAATGCAACTGGGGAGATAGCTCAGTGGAATAAGCGCTTTTCTGGCAAGCGCAAGGGCCTGAGCTCAATCTCTGGTTCTACACAAACAAACAAACAAACAAA